TACAACATCCAACCAGAATTTGAGTGCCTAAGCACAAATTTGGATATATCCGGATAATCCTCATACTATCACATTAACGTCATTAAGTAACTCGGGTGTCCTCGTCGTTTTTCGAGCAGAAATAAAGGAATAAATCTTATGGAATCTTACCTCATTAATACCTTATGTTATCACACAATTATTAAGGTTATCACTTGTATTATTATGGCAGAATGTTCTCTTAAAGGAACTCAAATCACTTTTCTCAATTCGGCTAGTGTTACTACCCAAAGTTTCACGTGGGTATTGATATTCGCCTGGGATTATCGATACTCACCATCCTCAATATCGACACTCCTTTCGAAACGATTTCTTCCTTAAAAGTGAGATTCTAAAAACCACACCATTTTAATTATCTCTTTGTGACTGATTTTTAATTAAAAATAAATGCGATTAAAAACTCTCATTTCTAAAAAATTGGGATTTCCTTTACGATAGAAAAATACAGTTCGAGGAGTCGCCACCTATCTTTGATTTTGGTGTGATTGGGCACCCAAAAATGTTTTGTCATTTTAAATAAAAATTAATTTTAATTAACGTCTTTGCAATGAAATTTACAAATTCGACTTTAATTTGATTTATGATCCCATAACACAACAAAGATGCGAACTTCATAATGAATTATAATATTCAAAAGCACCACAATAGATTAAATCAAAATTACCAAGCCTTTTTAGAAAGATAAAGAATATTCAGTTATTTAAAAATATTGAGACCAAATCTTAGATAAGTCCTAACAATCTTTTCTCGAAAAATTTAAATAACCGAATATTTCTTTTTCTTTCGTTCCCTAACTTTTAAGTGAAGAGTCATTTTTTAGGTTTCACTGTTGGGATATACTTTTAATTTAAAATCGTCGAAAATGACTCTCTAATAAGTTAAGACAAGCTCCTCAAAACAAGTTTAAATTAAAGGGTATTACCCTTAATCCAATTATTTGGGATGGGTCGAACGATGCTTGTATGTATACCATGCATATTATACAAAATAATATCGTATGATCACATATACATTGAAGAATACATAAAAAGCTATCATGTAAAGTAACATATTCATACAAAGACTATATACACCTATTTAACAATATAATATATAAGTTATACGCATATTATAACACATGATATATAGAAACAACATATGACATAATGACTAAAACATATTCAATATAAATATATACATGATATTTACGAACTAGTGTTTAATATAAGAAAAATACAAGTATAAAATATTTAGTGCCTTCACATGTACTATAATATGCACGTACATGGTAAAGGGAATATTTAATACTTGATATAGAGGCGAATATATATATATATGCCCAAGTTTAATAAGAAATTCATGATTAAAAATATTTGAAACGAATGCATTAGATATAAAATAAAAAATATATATACCTATATTGAAGATATTTAACACACACACATATATATATCATACACAAATATTGGATCCAAAACATATAAAATTTAATAACCATGGCATATAATGTATTTAATAATAGCAAATATTTATAACATAAAAGGAACTAAAATAAATGCGTGAACAATCGTAAGGGTTAAATTAAAATTAGAACGGGGACTAGAATATTATAATTTAAGGAAAGGGGGTCAAAAAAGATTTAATCAAAACTAGAATGGCTACATGCTTAATATGACCAATGCATTGGGAAACAATATTCTCCTACAAAACAATAGAAAATTTAAAAGGATTTCATTTTTGTCAAGCTTTAAGAGACAACAGAGAGAAAGAGTTACAGTGTTTCGCCGGGGAAGAGAAGCCCATTGTCTGTTGTCATTCTCCAGGGTCCATTCAATGTCAAACTTCAAGGGAAGGTTTGTCTCGATGCCAGGAGCTCGAATCTAGGCTCGGTTTTATGAGAATCAATCCCCAATTCCATGAAAAAGTCAAAGACTTTTCGGATCTTCACTTCTCCGATCTAGCTTTTCTACCGTTAGATCATCATGAGATCGAGATATGTTGGCCTTCCTCCCAAGAGATGCTCTTCCACCGTTCAGATGTACAAACCGAACGTTGGATCCATCGTCCTCAAGAGCCCTAGGTAAGACTCTTTTTCTATTTTTTTTCGAACGATATCTTTTCTTCTAATGAGATTGGTTCTCTTTGGATTATGGTGGTTGGTTTTCCTGTTGTTGTTGATCTTCCCCAAATGTTCTATGTCCCTTTTTTGTGTGTGTGTGATTTTCTTGCTCTGGTGGTTGATGAATGAAAACAAAGTGGCCTTTTTTGTAACACCCCAACCCGTATCCGACCCGAATACGAGTCTGAGATGCCACATCAATATTTCAAATCGTTTTCTTATATAAAAAATAAGGAAAATTCAAATTTAATTTAAACATACTAAATAATTTACATATATTAACTCAAACATTTTTAAAAACTGTTCAGAGCTTCAATCCTTTTTAACCCTTTAAATACATGCCAACATTATACAATACAATAAATAACATACTGAAAATTTTCTTTTGATCTGATCTTCGATGAAGCTATATTGTCTCTTGTAACCTATCTTCGCTTTGGAAACTTCTCAGATCCTACGTGTGAAACACTCACACGATAAGTCATAGACTTAGTGAGACATGTAAATACATAATGTAAACTATAACTAATTAACAATTGCATGTACATATCATGTAACGCAATGCTTGTATACATACATAAATCATCATTAACATGTTTATCATTACTTATATTATTATCACTAATTCCTTTTTATCATATGAACATATACTTAACGATTCTATACACATCACTGAACACATATAGCATTTCACAAAAGAGCACACATAATATCATACCAATTGATTTATTTATTCTCTTTAAAACCCATGTATAATTCTGAGAACTTAAGGTATGTGAGTACATAAAGGTTGTGCACATATGCTATCACCACAACTTGTATAATTCCCACTAGGGGCACTTAGAATTTGTCACGAAGGACCACTATGTCCCGAAAGACCACATATCACATATGTCCCGATGGACCACTCCTTAAGAACCATATACATAATACAATGGACCAAATAAGTATACCAAATTACCACATATATGTTCCTCATAATTACATATATATCCCGAAGGACCACGTAGAAGCCTCGACTCTTGGCATGCCAACTATACCCCTAGCTCTCATAACACAAAACATGGGCATTTTCATTATGTCATTTCACATATTCATATAATCATGTGGTTCACTTACACGTAGCGCATTTTCATATATTTCACTTTCACATATCTTATCACATATACTTATACTCTTTTTCATATCATGTCTCATGTAACCAAATATATCCTGTCTCATATCATATATTTCTTTATCTCATAACTTATGTCACATGTTCACATTTTCTTGTATTCATATAGTTTATATTATTTCACACAGTTACATAGATCACACATAAAGATGCACTTACCTCTAAACATATGAATGTACTCATGTATATCTAAACATCATATTATTGCATACTTACATTTGAGTACTCATATACCTAATATCAGAATTAGACTCCTCGCAAGTATTAATTCCATAACATACACTACAACAAATGTGTCAATTTATGACAAAATTTCTATATGACATTACTTATATCGTCACAAAATATACTATAATGTGACGTTTTTTTATTTTCGTCATATTTATTGATTAATGGTATATCTTTTATGACAATTCTAAAAATGGTCATTAATTTTTGTCACTATATGTTTGGCGCCAAAATCTTCCCACCAAATTCTTTGGTGGGAAACTTTTAATGATATTTAGATAAAATAATGACGTTGTAAAATCGTTTCCAATGAAAAAAAGCATTAGTGACGATTTATTATAATGACGATTTAATTTGAAATAGTGGCATTGCACATTTGTCACTAATAAGTTTTATTCGTGACAATTTAATTTTTCATATTTTATAAGACACTAAAAGTGACATTTTATTATTGTCACAAAAAATAGTTTTAGCACGACGAAATCAATTATTTATCACTTGTTTTTATCTCTCTTTTTTATATGACGATTTTAAAAGACATCATGAAATTATGTCAGTTAATGTTAAAAAATAAGATAATCTAACAACCTTATTAAATTATGCAATTTAGAGATTTTTTTGTGTTTTTTATTTTTTTGACATTATTCTATATTAGATTATCTCATATTCAAAGTTTTTTTAGAGTAAAACATAAAATAATAAATCATTAAAAAGAAACGAGCAGATTAATTTTTATATATTATTATACTTATATGATTTTCATGATGTTACATCAAAGTGTTTAGGAAAAAATAGATATTTATACTTGATCATAGAAATATCCATAAAGTTTTAGTACATTTAGATACATATAACATCAATAAAAATCATACAATTATTTTTAATTCTCATACACATGTATGCATTTTGAATTTTTTTAGGATTATTTTTATTCCTCCAAACACATTTTTAATTGAATCAAACTTTACATTGGATTAATTATTTATTATGAAATAGTTAAAAATATTATTTACTTCAATTATTTTATACTTTTAATATTTCTAAAGAGAAATCTTTTTACTATTTTAAATTATTTAAATTATTTTAAATTAATCTAAATTTTCTATATTTTCTATATTTTTAATAATTATGTTTAGATGTATTGGAGGTAATTTTTCAACTTCCCTCCAAATAAAATTTATATTCCCTCTAATAAAATTGAGTTTCCTTATACATAACAAGATTTTTTCTCATTCATAATAAATCATTATTGCTTTCTTTATTCATTGATTTTCATTTTATAAAATAATCTGTGTATTTAACTTCCTTTAGGGTTAAGAATATTATCATAAACAAGTAGGTGAAACAAGAAAATTCTTTTCTATATTCTATATTTTAATTAAACAATAGGATTTTATTCATTTAAATTCGGCACTCTACAATTCCGAGAACACAAGTCTTATTTATCCATATTCTGCTTTCCCCAATCCTACCCTTTCAATTGCTCCACCACTTTTACAATTTAGAAAGGTCTTTGGAAACCCTAAAACATTAAATTTACTCATCATGGAAGGACGAATGGCGTCACTGACGGTCACCTTTTACTCTCTAGTCTCCATTATCGTCTCGCTGATCTCTCTCGGTCGTGATCGTCACTCACGGGTATCTTCTCTTCTCTTTGTAACATCTTTGCCTCTTCTCTTCACAATGCTATTATTTAGAGTTTTGAGTGTTCTCAGTCGCCAGAATCTCAATGCATTTGACGTATAAGTAACAAATTCAAAATTTTGTGAGTGTTTGGTTTCCTACTTTTTAACAGAATATTTTTGCTTCAGAATCTCATTGCTTTCGTGCTGGGAACCTTTTCAAAGTATACGGGGCTCTGATATTTGCTCAGGTACTTTAGTTTATTTAATCCATATTTCTTTATTCTTTTCCCAATTGGTTTGATTTTGCTTGAGTTTCCATCTTGGACTAATTGTTAGGAGAATTTTTCTCTTTTTAAATTTGATTTTTAATCTAGTTTTTGCATAATCTTTCATCTTGGAACTATAGAAATGAATGAAAATAAAAATGAGGAAATTTAAACAGACAAGAAGAAAATAGTTTAGAATTTTTGTTAGCTCTATTACTAGAAAGGGAATTAAGAATTGAAAACAACTGATATTAGGATTTTTGTTTTTTGAAGTTTGATGTTGTTTTCCGTTTGAATTTAGTTTAAGCATTGTTTTTCAGAAAACATAATCATCAATTACTTACTCACAGGATTATAAGAAAGTCCATTGTTTTGAGTTTACGGGATAAGGATTGCTTTTTCGGTTGAATTTTGGAATTTTTTTTGGGTTTTAGTGATTTCATGCATTGAATTGTCGATTGAAGAATAAATTTCTTTCCTGTTTTCAACTTGAGTTTTGCAACCTTGCTCAATTTGCTAATTGCATTCTCTTTGAATTTGGACTAAATACGTTAGAACTGGATCTGCTATAGAATACACAGTTTTGCACCTCAAGGTTTGTATGATGCGTTGTATAGCACTTTTGTTGATGAAAATAATGTATTTGATTGTTTTCTCGACTTTTGAACGCAAGCAAGCAAATAACCTTGTGATACTCGTTTTGTTGAAGAAAGGACTGCAGTCTTGGATTGATTGCATGTGCATATTTGTTGTGAACAGTACATGAAGATAGGTGTAGAAATTCAGGAAAAGCATTAGAGAAGGAAGAGGAGTGTTCTTTTGTTCAAAAAACTGTTGAGGAATTTTTCAATCAAGTTCCTCTACGTTTTATCCCGATGTAAATAAATTTCCTAGGTCAAATAAAGATATGTAGTTTGAGCATTTTTAGATGCGTGTCTTGTGTTGTGCGTTTACATAAGATAGAAACAAATATTCCATAAACCATATCAATAATAGTAACTCCATTGATATTGGGAATTGAAATGTATATTGTTCATTTTCACTTTCATCTCTGTAAATACCTTGGCAACATTAATGCTATTATTGTTTAAGAAAAATCCTATGGTAAGTTGGACACTTTTGATATTTATTATAAAGTTTATTTTTATTTTAAAGTCTAATTTTTATTTTTGAAATCATATAGCGCAAGGATGATGAAGAACGAAATAGGATGGATTTCTTCAAGGCAACTCATTATTCAAATGACAAAGGATGGACAACATCTGAGGCACAAGCAAAACATGTAAGATCTCACAAAATTAAGTATTAAATTGTAATTTTCTTCTAAGGATTATTTTATTTATGAATGACTTTTTTTAGGAGAAAATGGTAGAGTTGCAATCAAATCCAGCTGAAGAAGGAGTAGAACCTAAGAATATTGATGATATAATGGATGAGGTACTTGGTACTAGACCATGATACATTCTGGGGCTTGGATATGGGCCAAAGCCTAAGAAAACAAATTCAAGTGCATATACAATCAAGTTAAAAAAAGAGTTTGAAGAATAAAAAAGATGAATTTAATAACTATAAGTCAAATTTTGAATTGATTCAAACTCAAATGGAAGCTATGAGATCTGCTTTGTTAGCTGTTGGAATTCAAGTGACATCACTTCAATTTTCAGGTAAACAATATGGTTAACCAAATAAAAATTATTATATAATATTAATTGTAGTAACTAATGTTGATTATTTTAATTTGTAGCTTCAAATGATACCACAAACTCAACATCAACAGAATCACAATCGACTCAAGGTTTGGATTGAGATTGCTACAATGAAATATTCCACAAGTCATATTATTATCATATTATTTTTATTTTATGTAAACATTTAAACATTTTATATTTATAGAAATGAAATTATTATGTTTTTAGTGAAATATTTGTTTAAATCTTATTATTTTGCAATAAGTGAAGTATTTTTTTATTTAGATTTATATAAATAATTTTTTAATATATATTATCAATAAAAATGTAACAATTTTTAGTTTTACCACTATATTGGTGACAGTATGTATGGTGACGTTATGCATAATCATCATTCATAATATTATTAGGTAACGATATATTATGTCACTAAAAATGTGACAATATCTCTTTCGTCACATATAAGTTGATTTTAATGCATTATTTGTGACGATATAAATCATCAATAACGAAATTTTACATAATTTAGTGACATGATTAGTTTTCATTGAATATTAATTATATATTGACGTTATATATAAATGTCATCCATGCTACTATTAGGTAACGATATACTACGTTACTAGCAATGTGGCAATTTTCTTTTCGTCACGTATACAATGAAATTATTGTGTTATTGGTGACGATATGATTTATTAATGATGAAAATGTACATCATTTAGTGACAAAAGTAATTGTTAGTGAATGAAAATTAAACTGTGACGTTATCCATTAGCGTCACTATATATTTATCAATACATGACGATAACACATACATCGTCACTTTTGACATTTAGTGACACACTTAGGGTGACGATTGTCGTGACATTGACTTTTACGTCACACAATACATCTAATGACATAAATTGAAGTTTTAGTGACAATAACCTAGATGCCACTAATAAGAAATTTTGTTGTAGTGATACTACACTTACTATCAGGTACTCACCTTGATTTACTTGTCAATACAAACTCTTGTTCCCTTTTCAAAATTCTTACTCCAAAGGCTTATCCAAACTTTTCCTTTGATCTATATATACATGAATATATTCCAATGAATATTAGGATTTGGATTACTCGATAATATTCAAACTAAAGTAACTAGATAAAACACTAATTTCCACTTTCCAACTTAAGTAGTATTGGTACTACTCTCATAGTACCAGTACTTCTATGCTAGGGTATCGATACCCTACAACGACATCGATACCAAAATAAGCTTTGATGTTCCCTGATATCGATACCCTCTACATAGGTATCGATACCCTCCATATAGGTATCGATACCCTCCACATAGGTATCGATATTGTTCATGCAGGTATCGATACCCCATGCATAAACTCCTTATAAATTGCCTTGTAGTATCGATACTCACCCAACAGGTACCGATACTACTCACCCAAAAAATGCTTCTTAACCCAAAAATTTCCAACACTTTACCCAAACTCTACTTATTTAACTCTCCTTATGCCTTTAAACTCAACTATAGATACTTAACCCATATTTAAACATTATAATACCTTATATAGCTTACCATAAATCTTGAAATTAAGAATTTTACCAAACTTTCAATGTGTTCTAAACTCATTTCTAATACTTTAGACTTCTTAGTCCTTCTTATGACAATTCAAATTCATAATTAGAACTTCAAAAACCTCTTCATTCTAACAATTCATTTCTACACCCTTAATATAAATTCCATTCTAATTCTCTCTTCTTGATGTTTTAAGCTTATATAAGCTTTCCTTAATCTTATATAACACCCAAAGAATCAAAACCAAATTATAAATCCAAGAATTAAATTGCTGAAATTAAACTCACCTTTAACTGAGGCTTACGGGGAGAAGAAGAAGGAGAAGAAGACAAGAAAATAAGCATCCAGATACTCTCTCACCTCTCTCACCCCACATGCTTATCTCTTTAATAAGAGATAAATATCTTTAAAATGAAAAGACCACCTTACCCTTCATTCTTTCCTTCTTTATTAATTAGTTTAATACCAGAATATTTCACTTAAAATCCCTGAACTTTTCAATTTTTACTAAATTGATCACCCAATTTCAAAAACTCTCATTTTAGTCATTAACCTTGATTTTGGGATGTTACATTTTTTCTCTGGGTTTGGTTGTCTTTCTCTCTGGGTTCAGTTATTGCTCCTAATGAAGAAAAATGTGTTTTTCCTTTGAAATCTTTTTTTCTTTTTTCCTTTGAAATCTCTCTCCCCTTTTCTTTTGATTTGTAGATGATATATATTACTCCTCATTTTCCTTTGCCAATACATCCTGGTGTAACAGTTTGTGCGAATGGGAAAGGAAATATTCTTGAACGCTTTATCTTCTGGAATATTGATTGATGTTAGGGAGATGAGCTTGTAACTGATACAACCTATATTGGAGTTACAAAGGGGAACCACGGGCTGTTGACTTGTTGTAGTGCTACTGACATGTATTGAGGCCAATGTTCTGCCAGGATTGTTAACCTGGACAAAATTAAGGTATTACAACCCCCTCGAGTATCAATACCAAAAATGCATTCGATATTTTGGAAAAATACCTCAATTTCGATACCCTTTGTATCGATACTCCCTTGAATATCGGTATTAAAATTGCATTGTGGAATCCGATTTGGGTCCCCAGGTATCGATACTAACCTCCGAATAACATTATTGATACTCTTATTGAGTATTGATACCCTTCTCACAAACATTAGAATTTTTATCCTTCCACGAAGGGAAGTATCGGTACTGTTCATCCAATATTGATACCCATTCTCGAAAAGCCTTGTTTCACTAATAAAAAGTCCTCCAAATTGGTCCTAAAATGTCTCTAAGTCCCCCAAGTGGTGTTTAAAGCTTATTTAGTCCATAAGAAGCATGAAAGGCCACTATTTTACACAAGAACAAACACAAATCCCGATTTCTTGTTTCAAACCCCCACCCAAGTGCACACAAAATCTCATACGCTCTAACACGCATTAAATTTATACATGTTGATCTACAAGAGGTAAGGTAAGGTAAGGTTATATGAGTGTTATCTTGTACCTAGGAGTTGTAAGAACAACCCCTAGCTCATCCGAGGACCTACTCTGCTTTGCCTTGTCCTCTTGTGTTTTCACCCACTTCTCTCACTAAAACAATCAATAAAATGAGTTACAAACTTATTTAAAGGTTCAAGAAGGTTGTAAACATACTTCCTAACTCCCAAAAATGCAATGTGAATCATTAAAGAACCCTAAAAATCAAAACCCATCTTAAACTCCCATTCATGGTTTTCCATGGCTAAAACTTAAAAAAGAACTCTTGGCTGAAAACTTAGAGAACGATGATTCTAGCTCTTACCTTGAACTTCTTTGACAACATTTGAAACTCAAAAAGGTCTCACCTTTTTCTTCTCCCATGATACCAAGAGAAGAGGATGGAGTTTGAGTAGGAAGAGGAAGAAGACAAAGAAAGAAGAAAAATAGGAATGGATCCTCTACCCGTATGACCTCATTACAATTAAAGATTTTCATCCTTTGAAACAATTTAGAGGAAACTTACACTCCTAGTCCCCCTCCTTTAAAGCTTACTTCTAACCCTTTTTAAGCCTTATTGGGCTCAAGCCTAAACCAAGACTAACTATATTTTAGCCCAACACTCCAAATGGGTTTCTTAGCCTAGTTAAAGCTTACTCGGGTTTACCCAAAACTACTAATCTAGAAATCGAGGCGTTACAGTCATAGAATATCTCAAGTGATCTTTCTTATTAATCCATAATTAGCAGCTTACACAAAAAATTTTACATCAATATTTGAATAAGTCGGAGTTCATAAACCCCGATGATCTCTTACTTTCTAGACATCCGATATGTGAGCATGTAACATTTTTGTTCTTAAATGTATTTTATGAATCAATTTGGTTGCTATCTAACGATTAATACCTAAATTTCTTAAATACCTACTTAATATCCTAAAATCATACGCTATGTCTGAATGCGTATAAATCTGAGTATACATTAAATTCTTTATTTATTTTTAAGTATAAGAAACCCTTTTGCATTTTCTTAGTTTCAAAATCATCCTTACGACACTGATCAAGGCTAAACTTGTTTCTTTTAGCAATAAAGGGTATCATTTGGTTTAAAAGCACTGAACTTATAGTATATACAATTGTCAACCAAATTCATCTCAAAACCAAACGAGATAATCACTTGGTGAAATTTGTTATACAATTAACAGAAGTTATACTTAAACTCATAAATGGATTTCCTTAATTTGCATATCATTAATTTTGTATCATCATATACAATTTTCTAACTGCACCGTATAAAACATCTCATCAATGTTACCATTGAAAAACATAATTTTGAAATCCAACTTATGTAATTCAAGATCAAATATGAGCAATAAGTATCATGATTATCATGAAGAGTCTTTCAATTCAATGAAACCAAACAGAAAGTTTCTACAAAACTAATGTCTTCTTTCTGAGTATATCCTTTAGATACAAGACATGTCTTATACTTTTCAACACCACCATTATCATCCATCTTGGTTTTAAATATCCATTTACAACCAATCAACTTTGCACATTCAGGTAATGAGACTAGTTCTCAAACTTTATTATCTTGTATACACCTCATACTCTTCTTACATGATATTAATCCAATTTTAAGAGTCAGAACATTTATGACATGATGAAAGTTGATTAGATCATCCTCCCATCATTCCACTATCATCCTTATTTCTTAGAGAAATACAACATAATAATCTAAATAAAATGTATCCCATTTCGTGAATCTTCTTAATGACACTTGTTCTTTAAGTTTGTTGAGTTTGTTCTTCCATAACAATTTCTCATCTTAAATGGAGAGTTGTTAAATATTATCTTTTTGAGATTCTAGATTCACTTATTGATTAACGACATGTATGAACACATGTATATCATCAAAAGTGATAATGGAAATTGGATTATAATTCGATAAACTGATTATTTATACAATTGGATTTGCATTCTGTAATGTTCTGCTGCTGTTTGTATTATAAAAAATCCTGAGTTTTTACAATTATTTTGGGTTTCATTAATTAAAGGCTTATTGGTCTCAAATACCGTTTTCTGTTCATATTGTAACTAGTGAATGCTTAGTTTTATCATGTATTCGGGGCATTGGAGGACCATATTCTTATTTCATGCCCGAAGATAATTCAAGAAAAATTAATGATGGAATAACAGTATTAAATACAAAATTTTATAATGGGGCTATTTGCTTTTAGCAGGATGGAGCTGTTGACTACTTCAGATACAACAAGCTCGAGTTATTGGTTGACTTGGAGGGTTTTGATATGTTCAGTCATTGTTTTTACACCAATTGTTATATCATTGATCATAATTTTCAAATACGAAGGATTGAAAAAAGTTAAACGTGATGGAAAAGAAAGCCAAGAAGGTTTAAGTTGTGATGAGTTGTATGATGATGATGTTTGGAAGCCTTGTCTTCAAGAAATCCATCCTTTTTGGCTGTTGGGTTATCGGGTCATTGCGTTTTGTTTAGCTCTTGCAATGATTGTTTCAAAAACCGTCGCTAGTGGAGCTCACATCTTTTACTATTATACTCAGTAAGCAATCTCTTTTCTTTGAACTTGCCTTGTATCAAGTTACTAGTAATTCTTGTTTAAAGTACTTCCATCTTTATATAGGAATTATGATACTTTAACTCTTCTAAATAGAATGAGCTTTAAACCCAATGTACTATTCACTCATGTCATCTGATCTTCCGAAACTGAAATTATAGGGTGTTTGCCTTATATTTTAAGCATTTTAGCTATCTCAGATGGATGTATTCTGAAACATTCTAAGTTATGATCTCTTTTGGTGCTGGACAGGTGGACTTTTACTTTGGTTACCATTTATTTTGGGGTTTGTCTATCCCGTTCTACTTAAACTGTCCACTATCGACTTTTTTGGTTAATTTTTTTGAACTTTGATTCTTTATTATTTAAAATTTATTATTGATAAAAATAAAATATATTTTAAAAAATCTTTATTTAAGTAGTTTTGAAATATATATTTTATAAAATTTAAATTTTTTAAAAATATTTAAAATAATTGTGGTCAAAGTTGAAAAAAATTGACTTTTAAAAAGTCAATAATAAACAGTTTTAGTGGGACGGAGGGAGTATTATTTTCTTCTTACTAGTCTTTGTTGCAACATTTATATCTCCACGATATAATTGTTGCGTTGTATCCATATGCTGGTTTGCAGTATGTACAATTTCCCCCTCTTCTTGCAGTTCGGAATGTTGCTCTCTATTTAAGGGTGTTACCGGCATTATAAGATGACTAGCTGTGGCTTTAACGTACATCATGCTGGAATAGATGCTGAGCAAGGATACTACAAACCTTTAACTAACAGAGAAGACACAAATATACTGAGAAAAGCCTTAAATCCGCAGGAAAGATGCAACGTTTCACAAGCAGCAGGCATTATTAGTTATCTCTTTCAGGTTATATTCCAGGTAAATGCCATTCAAGTCAACAATGCAAGATTATTCTGAACATTCTAGTGGAAAAAAAAAGTACTAGCATTTTTACTCAGATCATATTTGGTAGTTGTGCAAGACCTTTGAGATTTTCATGCGGCTTTTACGGTATTCCATGAACCTTTTATGTTAGATCTCATTTTGATTTTTCATATGCATATGAATTCTGGAGCTTTTATGCTTACTGACCCCATATATTGGTGCCTTATTTTCCCATTTCTTACCATTGAAGATTATACATTGAATTTCGTGAGTTCTCTATCCCTTTGTTCATCTGGAAAATGTTTTTGTGATCCTGCCTGTCTGAAAATGTTCGGTGTAATGGGAATTCAATCACATCCAAATGATAGAAATAATCATCACATCATGTGGTTCAAGTTCATAGAATCATACTATGCTAATCTGGCTCTTCATTTTTTTCTTAACTGAATGTGCGTATCAATATATATATATATGTGTGTGTGTGTGTGTGTTCAAAAACATGGGTATCCATATATGATCCTCCAAACACCCTCTAAATACATGACAATCTTAGAAAAAGTTGAGCATACCAGTGTCTGCCACTTATACCCAAGCCTGTGCAACATAAGTTTAGATGATGATTTCATAGTCATTTCTCTACTTCCTATCAGCAGTTGAAGTCCATTCGTTCTGTGTTTCTAATAATACTTTCTATCAAAACTGTTCATTGATATTTCAAATTGACCTCGTTATCGATATATTTCAATTTCTTATTCCATTTTACTTTATCTTTTTGGCTTTGGTAAGACAGAACCTTAACCTTCATCTCTATATTTCAGATGACTGTGAACTTGCATACACTCAATGTCATCCTACTTCTCGGTGACACAGCCCTGAATAGTTCGGTAAATATATAGTGTTTTTGTCATCTTGTTTTATGGATACCGCTTCACTTTTCATCATAATAACCTTGAGTAGTATATATCTATCAATTATCTTTCAGCGGCTCCCTTGGTTTCGAATTTCGTACTTCATCTTATGGACGGGTGCTCTTGTCATTTTCCACTGGATCCTTCATGCTTGTGTCTCGATATTGTAATATTGGTTTTATGATTATCGTTCAAAATGATGCACAAAATATCCTTATTCAAGAACTGGGATAATTCTATGTTACAGTTGGCCATATCCATTTCTTGATTTGTCATCACCGAATGCTCCGTTATGGTACTTCTCCTTCTATTGAGAGTTATCTTTCCAAAGGAGCTTTTAAATCCCTCGTACGTTGTCAAATAACATTAGTCCATTGGGATAATATGCTAACTGATTGTTGATTTATTCTTTTAATGTATGATGCAGGCATCTGATTATGTTAAGCTTTTTGCCTTCTTTTTATGGCAGGTATGGTTTGCTGGCAATCATGCATATACCGTGCTACGGCATTTTTGCTTTGATCTTAAAGACCAAGCATTACCTGTTGTCGAAATGGTTCCCCCAGTCGTACTTGCATTTAAAATGAACAATGTCGAAACGCCGATGGACTCTGCCGAAGTTGCTCAGCAGATCCAAGCAATTGGTAAGCACATGTTTTGCCATCAAATTTTACATTGATATTATAAAGAGAATGCAAGGCACTAGTAATGAAGAGTAGACATAGCCTTCCACAAGGCATGGATCAAACATTGAATGAAACAAGGCTAAATGTGTGCATACATAGACGCAGCTTCTTGGTTAAAATTCTTGTTTTTGTTTATCTAGTATAATTTAACTAATGATCAGCACATGTTACTTTAGACATGGCATTTTTAAGTGTTTAATTGATGATGTAATGTGTGTCACGACATCAAAGCGACACCACATCAATTAAATATACATAAAAATATCATGTCAGCAACATGCATTGACTACTAGTCGACTAATAATTTTATCTAACATGGACTATTTTATTAAGAAATTGAAACATTTTGGCTAAAATATTCTAAAAAATAAAAATAAAATATCATTTGTGCAAACATCAGAGATTAATTTTGTCGTTATACATACTTTATTTAAAACAATATTTTTCATTTTTAATTAGTATAGAAGTAAATATATTTTATATTTTTAATTTCTTTTAATTTAATATTTTTATTAATATATGTTATAAATTGAATTGGGATCGAACTTTAAGATTAATATTCATTTTAAAAATATTTTTTATTAAGATGATAATTAAATAAAAAAAACCAGTGTTATCGATGGTTAGAGTATTTTCTTTCCGTTATCATGCGACTTAACGATGACTTCAATATATAAGACAAAAAATCAAAGATTTTTCTCACAAAATTAAACATTTTAAGAAAATCACATCATTTGCTTATTTTTCTAATCAAATAGATTCGTTCCCTTTTGGGAAAGGGTTCCTTTTTCTTTTTCTCAAGTAAATAAAGATTCCTTAGAAAGAATACATCCAAGGTAAGATTCTTTTTTATATAAATTCTAATATTAAACTAAATATATATTTTCAAATTAAAGATGAACATTTATAAATGTATTTAAATTAACATTTTTAAATATTATAAATAAGTTAGTATTAATTAAATTAATATTTAATTTATATAATTATTATGACATTCAATTTTGTTAAAATATACGTTTTTGTGACAGATCTGATTAGAGATGTAAAATCCCAAACTATGGGTTAGTGACTTAATTGTAAAGTTTCAGAATTTGGTGATTAAAGTAGAAGAATGGATTAGTTCAATGATTTATCTGGAAATAAATCCTAAAAGTTGTTAGTAATTATCAAATGAAGTAGAGGGCAAAATGGTCATTTGACTTGGAAATTATAATTAAATGATATATAGGCATGTGGGATAAGGATGAGGAGATATTTTCTCCACTTCTTCTTCTTCTTCTTCTTCTTCTTCTTCATGTACGAGAGAGAGAAGAGCCAAACTTGCAAAGGTAAGATTCTTTGTTAGCTGATTATTTGTTATTTTTAAGAGTGGGTTTTGATCATTAGGTAATACTTAAGCTTATGGAAAACTTATGTTGTCCTAAAATTAAAAGATAAAGAAGTTATGAAGGATTAAAGAAAATGTGTTTCTAAATGAATTTCTAGAAAAGAGTTAAGATATACGAAGTGTTAAAAGTGGAATTCAAACATGTTGGATTATTGATGTAATTCTTGAATTTCATATGAAGGATAGGATTTGAAGGTTAAAGATGAAATAAATGAGTATAAATTGGTTTAAGGATGTGTACTAGAGTTAAGAGTGAAAAAGGGGATTAAACATGAAGGATTTAATCCAAAATGAATAGATTTTCGGGTTCAAAAAGAGGTTTTGGGAAGAGTGCATCGATGCACATTCATAGTGCATCGATGCATCAAGGTTAAAACCCATAAATTGTTTGAATGTGCACCGATGCATTGGTAGTGCATCGATGCACTCTTTTAATAGTGAAACATCAAATGCAATCGGTCCATCGATGCATAAGGAGTGCATCGATACATCCCAGTAATATTACAACATCGAATATTTTTTATGCACCGATGCATCAGTAGTGCATCGATGCATACCTTTATTAAAAGATTAAATTGACTTTTCTCTTAGTCTAAGGAGTGAACCATTAGAATATATTAATTATAATGCTGATATAGATCAATGTGTGATTATGTAGATACTAAAAGTAAGCTTATTCCGGAACGATCAAAGGATTAGAATCGAATCAAAGCAAAGCTAAGGTAAGTGCATACTATATGTATAGTATAATGGAATAAGAGTTGTGATAAGTCTAATCCCTATGTTGATTTTCATAGTACAATAATTGTGAACATGCATACATGATAATTATGGTGATATGATATGTGATATGAGAACATGATATGAATTAAGTGATATGAGCTACATGATCTACGTGAATGTATGCACTTGTGATACATGTGATATGATATGAAATATATAATTACACATACATGTGGTATGTGACAGAAGAGAAAGAACAAGTGATATGAAAGGTATAAGAATAATGCCCATAGTATACGATATGAGAACTATAGGTGTAGTTGGCATGCCAAGAGTCGACAGTTTACATATGTTTAAAGGCACATATGAACAGTTTACATATGTTTAAAGGCACATATGAACAGTTTATATATGTTTAAAGGCACATATGAACAGTTTACATATGTTTAAAGGCACATATGAACATTTTACATATGTTTAAAGGCACATATGAACAGTTTACATATGTTTAAAGGCACATATGAACAATTTACATATGTTTAAAGGCACATATGAACAGTTTACATATGTTTAAAGGCACATATGAACAGTTTATATATGTTTAAAGGCACATATGAACAGTTTACATATGTTTAAAGGCATATATGAACAGTTTATATTGTGACCTCTGGATCGTGGTCCTTCGGGACGAATACTGAACTAAGGTTCGGTGCCCCATGAGGGAATTGATACGAGCTGTGGTGACATCATTAGTGCACAACCTCAATGCACTCACATACCTCTATTCTCAATAATATACATGGGCAATACAATTGAAATACCGACTTACAGTGAAAGTGATACAAAAAGGTAAGTTTCATATGTGTATTATATGATTATATATGTTATCGTGTGATAAATATATGCATATTGAAATGTCATGATCCAATGGTAAGTATGAACATTCATAAGTTTATTGTTGCATATTCATTTATTGCCTCACTAAGTCTATGACTTAGCGTGTAAGTGATTTACACGTAGGTACCAAGAATCAGGAAGAGTGTAAATAGAAGTAGTACGGACATCAATACTACTAAGAGATCAGATCAGAAGTAATTGACAAAGTATGTACTTGGTTATGTATAGAATGTTGGCATGTAATAAGTGTTAATTACGAATACTCTGATAGATTTTGTATTTTATGGTCTTATGTAAATTAATGTAATTCGTTTTAATGAAAGTTTTAAAAATTCCCGGGATTTTCTATAAGAGTCAAAGTTTGAAAAGTCAATGTGACACCTCGGACTTGTATTCGGGTCGGATATGAGTTAAGGGTGTTACAAGAGAAATAAGAATATGATTATGAAGTACCTACTTTTTTATATAATTTTTTATTAATATGAGTTAAGTATAAGGTAGTATCTGATTAAAAATAGCTCGTAACTATTTGGTATTGAACGCTCACACTTTTGACATTCATGGTACTCGAACTCGAGATCACAAAGAATAACAACATTTCTTTTACAACTGAGGTCACTCCATTTGTGCACATAATTTTCAAAATTTTAACTAAATTTCCTTAAAATTTTATAAATTTTCATTAAATTATAAAATTTTCAAATAACTTTAATTAGGTCTATTGATGGGAATAATTTAGGTTGGTTAGTTGTGAACAATTCACCCTTTCTATTAGGAACGAGGAGAATAGCTTTACGAAGAGGGTGAAATACTTGGGGGGGGGAATTCTTTTTGTGTGTGTGTGTGGTATTAATATCTTAATCGTAGGATGATTAATGTTAAACTTAAGGTCGTCATAATTGTTAGTAAACAATTTTATACATATACTATTGTGAGTTACTAGATTTGATTGTCAAAATCGTATTGGAGGTTGATGAAAAAGAGCTTCGGATGATCATTGAATTAGAATAATTCTTAGAGTATCCTTATATTTTTTTAATGGTTTTTTAAGATTTTGTTTGATTGATGTTATGAGTAATTATAATGATAGGGTGTTAGTATTATTTCGCCGGTTTATTCAAGAGGTATAATAAGTTTCTATTACAAATTTAAAAATAAGGTAGATTATAAGATTGATCATTTTTGTTTTAGTTTTGTATATTTTTCTCATTAAATTTAAAAAAATTAATATTTATTCACTTTTATTTAAATAATATTGTTACTTTTATTTAATTTTTTATTTTCTTCACTAACGACAGTTAAAATCACATGGACTAAACATTTAAAAATTTATAAAATAAACGACCACATCTTATTTAAATAAAAAATGAATATGATCACTTTTAATTAAAATAAAAATAATTTATGTTTTTGAATTTACTGAAAAAAGTATACAAAATCTTAACAGAAAATGATCAATCATATAATTTAATAAGTGATCAATCATGTGGTTTACCCTTAAAATTATCATTAGGACTCATCCCCCTTTGTTCTTGTTTTGTAGGGGCTTTATAGGAGGCTCCAAGTGATTTGTTTCCTTATTAGGTCCGATTTTCAGCGACCACTTTCTCTTTTTTGATTGATTCGGTTTCCATATTAAACCGAAGAAAAATGTTACCTTCGTTTTCAAATGAGATTTGGTTATTGTTGCCGTGGATTGATTCTATTGCTATTTTTTATTTGCTTGATTTGGTTGTTGATTTTGAAATCCTTTCCAAAAATATTGTGAAAAGGGATTTCCTTCCTTTTTCAGTCAATGCGTGGAACTTTAGTGTCAGCACGCGCCATTGATCGAACGGTCGTGACCTTCTGATGATTCCTGATGTGTTGTAAAAGCATTTGATCAAACAAATCAGATAAATCATCTAATTCAGATGAGTTAGAGGTTACCTTAGAATCTTCCCCGAATGCCATCAAGCACAAGTTTGCTACTTCTTGTTCCTCTTCATCGGAACACTCTTTATCGCTCCATGTAGCCACATGAGCCTTGTTCTTATTCTTTGATTGACCCTTTCTTTTCAATTGTGGGCAAT